TGTCTGTTCTGCTGCGGTTGTCACATCTGTAGCAGTTGTGTCCACAGAAGGAGAGGTTGTCACCGCAGGTGTAGTGGTGTCTGCTGACACTGTTGTGGCTACAACAGTGGATGTCTGTGCTCTTGTCGTAACCACATCCTCAACAGTCGTATCCACCACAGGACTGGTTGTTACCTCGGCTATAGTGGTATCTACAGCCATCGTTGTGGCTTTAACAGTAGTTGTTTGCTCTGTCATGGTTGTGATATCAGCAGTTGTCACATCCACTGAAGGAGTTGTTCCCTCAGCTGTAGTAGTATCTGCACCTGCTGTTGTGACTGAAACTGTACTGGCATCAGCAATAGATGTCTGTTCGGCTGCAGTTGTCACATCTGTAGCAGTTGTCTCCACTGAAGGAGAGGTTGTCACCGCAGCTGTAGTGCTATCTGCTGACACTGTTGTGGCTACAACAGTAGATGTCTGTGCTCCTGTTGTAACCACATCCTCAACAGTCGTATCAACCACAGGACTGGTTGTTACCTCAGCTATAGTGGTATCAACAGTCATAGTTGTGGCTTCAACAGTAGTTGTTTGCTCTGTCATTGTTGTGATACCAGCAGTTGTCACATCCACTGAAGGAGTTGTTCCCTCAGCTGTAGTAGTATCTGCACCTGCTGTTGTGACTGCAACTGTACTGGCATCAGCAATAGATGTCTGTTCGGCTGCAGTTGTCACATCTGTAGCAGTTGTCTCCACTGAAGGAGAGGTTGTCACCGCAGCTGTAGTGCTATCTGCTGACACTGTTGTGGCTACAACAGTAGATGTCTGTGCTCCTGTTGTAACCACATCCTCAACAGTCGTATCAACCACAGGACTGGTTGTTACCTCAGCTATAGTGGTATCAACAGTCATAGTTGTGGCTTCAACAGTAGTTGTTTGCTCTGTCATTGTTGTGGTATCAGCAATTGTCACATCCACTGAAGGAGTTGTTCCCTCAGCTGTAGTAGTATCTGCACCTACTGTTGTGACTGCAACTGTACTGGCATCAGCAATAGACGTCTGTTCTGCTGCGGTTGTCACATCTGCAGTAGTTGTGTCCACGGAAGGAGAGGTTGTCGACGCAGCTGTAGTGCTATCTGCTGACACTGTTGAGGCTACAACAGTAGATGTCTGTGCTCCGGTTGTAACCGCATCCTCAACAGTCGTATCAACCACAGGACTGGTTGTTACCTCAGCTATAGTGGTATCAACAGCCATAGTTGTGGCTTCAACAGTAGTTGTTTGCTCTGTCATTGTTGTGATAGCAGCAGTTGTCACATCCACTGAAGGAGTTGTTCCCTCAGCTGTAGTAGTATCTGCACCTGCTGTTGTGACTGCAACTGTACTGGCATCAGCAATAGATGTCTGTTCTGCTGCGGTTGTCACATCTGTAGCAGTTGTGTCCACTGAAGGAGAGGTTGTCGCCGCAGCTGTAGTGGTATCTGCTGACATTGTTGTGGCTACAACAGTAGATGTCTGTGCTCCTGTTGTAACCACATCCTCAACAGTCGTATCAACTACAGGACTGGTTGTTACCTCAGCTATAGTGGTATCTACAGCCATCGTTGTGGCTTCAACAGTAGTTGATTGCTCTGTCATTGTTGTGATATCAGCAGTTGACACATCCACTGAAAGAGTAGTTCCCTCAGCTGTAGTAGTATCTGCACCTGCTGTTGTGACTGCAACTGTACTGGCATCAGCAATAGATGTCTGTTCGGCTGCGGTTGTCACATCTTTAGCAGTTGTGTCCACTGAAGGAGAGGTTGTCGCCGCAGCTGTAGTGCTTTCTGCTGACACTGTTGTGGCTACAACAGTAGATGTCTGTGCTCCTGTTGTAATCGCATCCTCAAAAGTCGTATCAACCACAGGACTGGTTGTTACCTCAGCTATAGTGGTATCTACAGCCATCGTTGTGGCTTCAACAGTAGTTGTTTGCTCCGTCATGGTTGTGATATCAGCAGTTGTCCCATCCACTGAAGGAGTTGTTCCCTCAGCTGTAGTAGTATCTGCACCTGCTGTTGTGACTGCAACTGTACTGGCATCAGCAATAGATGTCTGTTCTGCTGCGGTTGTCACATCTGTAGCAGTTGTGTCCACAGAAGGAGAGGTTGTCACCGCAGGTGTAGTGGTGTCTGCTGACACTGTTGTGGCTACAACAGTGGATGTCTGTGCTCTTGTCGTAACCACATCCTCAACAGTCGTATCCACCACAGGACTGGTTGTTACCTCGGCTATAGTGGTATCTACAGCCATCGTTGTGGCTTTAACAGTAGTTGTTTGCTCTGTCATGGTTGTGATATCAGCAGTTGTCACATCCACTGAAGGAGTTGTTCCCTCAGCTGTAGTAGTATCTGCACCTGCTGTTGTGACTGAAACTGTACTGGCATCAGCAATAGATGTCTGTTCGGCTGCAGTTGTCACATCTGTAGCAGTTGTCTCCACTGAAGGAGAGGTTGTCACCGCAGCTGTAGTGCTATCTGCTGACACTGTTGTGGCTACAACAGTAGATGTCTGTGCTCCTGTTCTAACCACATCCTCAACAGTCGTATCAACCACAGGACTGGTTGTTACCTCAGCTATAGTGGTATCAACAGTCATAGTTGTGGCTTCAACAGTAGTTGTTTGCTCTGTCATTGTTGTGATACCAGCAGTTGTCACATCCACTGAAGGAGTTGTTCCCTCAGCTGTAGTAGTATCTGCACCTGCTGTTGTGACTGCAACTGTACTGGCATCAGCAATAGATGTCTGTTCGGCTGCAGTTGTCACATCTGTAGCAGTTGTCTCCACTGAAGGAGAGGTTGTCACCGCAGCTGTAGTGCTATCTGCTGACACTGTTGTGGCTACAACAGTAGATGTCTGTGCTCCTGTTGTAACCACATCCTCAACAGTCGTATCAACCACAGGACTGGTTGTTACCTCAGCTATAGTGGTATCAACAGTCATAGTTGTGGCTTCAACAGTAGTTGTTTGCTCTGTCATTGTTGTGGTATCAGCAGTTGTCACATCCACTGAAGGAGTTGTTCCCTCAGCTGTAGTAGTATCTGCACCTACTGTTGTGACTGCAACTGTACTGGCATCAGCAATAGACGTCTGTTCTGCTGCGGTTGTCACATCTGCAGTAGTTGTGTCCACGGAAGGAGAGGTTGTCACCGCAGCTGTAGTGGTATCTGCTGACACTGTTGAGGCTACAACAGTAGATGTCTGTGCTCCGGTTGTAACCGCATCCTCAAAAGTCGTATCAACCACAGGACTGGTTGTTACCTCAGCTATAGTGGTATCAACAGCCATAGTTGTGGCTTCAACAGTAGTTGTTTGCTCTGTCATTGTTGTGATACCAGCAGTTGTCACATCCACTGAAGGAGTTGTTCCCTCAGCTGTAGTAGTATCTGCACCTGCTGTTGTGACTGCAACTGTACTGGCATCAGCAATAGATGTCTGTTCTGCTGCGGTTGTCACATCTGTAGCAGTTGTGTCCACTGAAGGAGAGGTTGTCGCCGCAGCTGTAGTGGTATCTGCTGACATTGTTGTGGCTACAACAGTAGATGTCTGTGCTCCTGTTGTAACCACATCCTCAACAGTCGTATCAACTACAGGACTGGTTGTTACCTCAGCTATAGTGGTATCTACAGCCATCGTTGTGGCTTCAACAGTAGTTGATTGCTCTGTCATTGTTGTGATATCAGCAGTTGACACATCCACTGAAAGAGTAGTTCCCTCAGCTGTAGTAGTATCTGCACCTGCTGTTGTGACTGCAACTGTACTGGCATCAGCAATAGATGTCTGTTCGGCTGCGGTTGTCACATCTTTAGCAGTTGTGTCCACTGAAGGAGAGGTTGTCGCCGCAACTGTAGTGCTTTCTGCTGACACTGTTGTGGCTACAACAGTAGATGTCTGTGCTCCTGTTGTAATCGCATCCTCAAAAGTCGTATCAACCACAGGACTGGTTGTTACCTCAGCTATAGTGGTATCTACAGCCATCGTTGTGGCTTCAACAGTAGTTGTTTGCTCTGTCATGGTTGTGATATCAGCAGTTGTCCCATCCACTGAAGGAGTTGTTCCCTCAGCTGTAGTAGTATCTGCACCTGCTGTTGTGACTGCAACTGTACTGGCATCAGCAATAGATGTCTGTTCTGCTGCGGTTGTCACATCTGTAGCAGTTGTGTCCACAGAAGGAGAGGTTGTCACCGCAGGTGTAGTGGTATCTGCTGACACTGTTGTGGCTACAACAGTGGATGTCTGTGCTCTTGTCGTAACCACATCCTCAACAGTCGTATCCACCACAGGACTGGTTGTTACCTCAGCTATAGTGGTATCTACAGCCATCGTTGTGGCTTCAACAGTAGTTGATTGCTCTGTCATTGTTGTGATATCAGCAGTTGACACATCCACTGAAAGAGTAGTTCCCTCAGCTGTAGTAGTATCTGCACCTGCTGTTGTGACTGCAACTGTACTGGCATCAGCAATAGATGTCTGTTCGGCTGCGGTTGTCACATCTGTAGCAGTTGTGTCCACAGAAGGAGAGGTTGTCACCGCAGGTGTAGTGGTATCTGCTGACACTGTTGTGGCTACAACAGTAGATGTCTGTGCTCCTGTTGTAATCGCATCCTCAAAAGTCGTATCAAACACAGGACTGGTTGTTACCTCACCTATAGTGGTATCTAGGGCCATCGTTGTGGGTTCAACAGTAGTTGTTTGCTCTGTCATGGTTGTGATATCAGCAGTTGTCACATCCACTGAAGGAGTTGTTCCCTCAGCTGAAGTAGTATCTGCACCTAAAGTTGTGACACCAACTGTATTGGCATCAGCAATAGATGTCTGTTCTGCTGCGGTTGTCACATCTGTAGCAGTTGTGTCCACTGAAGGAGAGGTTGTCGCCGCAGCTGCAGTGGTATCTGCAGCCATTGTTGTGGCTACAACTGTAGAAGCTGCTTCAACAGTAGTTTTGTGTTCTGCTGTTGTTGTGATATCAGCAGTTGTCATACCGACTGAAGCGGTTGTTCCCTCAGCTGTAGTATATACACCTGCTGTACTGGTAAGGGGTCCTGTCGTAGAAGAAGCTTCAGCAGTGGTTGTTTGTGCTGCTCTGGTCGTCACATCTGTAGTGGCTGTATCCACAACAGGACTAGTTCTTACATCAGCCGTGGTGGTATTTGTACCTGTTGTAGTACAAAAAACACTTATTAGATAATTGTATCCTTAATTTGGCAGGGTTCGACCTTAGCAGTAGTCTGATAGCCAAATGTGAGTAAAAACAGCGGGCTATTCGAAACCATTACTATTATTATTAAGATAAGGCATTTTTCTGGGGGTTTTTTTCAACGTGGTCTTAGAAAAAGGTAATCAGATATAGATGCACATTTGGCTTGTTTCATGCCATTGTGCCGCCAAATCTTGCTCCGAAATTGCTAATTAAAGGAAGTGTTTTGTATAAGTATATATAAGCATAAAAAGTTCAGGACACATACTCTGTACATGTACATATTCAAAGGGGAACAGTCTGCCCTTTTTATGAATGAGGGTGTCACCATAGTGCCCTCTAGTTATTCTGGCAATAAACCAGGCATGAATGCGTCAGGATACAGACAGTACTGCATGTCAAGCGTTTTGGATGAAAAATCATGGCCTACGTATGTAAGGAAACATTTCAGTCAGGCTGAAATCGGTATCCATTGCTGTACCGGTGTTATTCTTTGCGGTACTGCACTCCATACCCCAAACCTGGCTGATGAATGGAAAGCCGTCAGGCCGTAATAACTGAATATTTATGAGGTCAAACGTGGAACGTGGTACTCGTTACATGCCCAGTCAGCTTGTCAAAAATTGTAAGTTTGAATACGCCATGAAGTGTTGAATAGGCACAGGCCAGCAGACCGCACACTCCTCACGAATATTGTTGTGACGAAAATACCTGTGTGTACTGACCTGTACATAATGAACTTATTATCATAGCCAGCTGGGCTTAATGCTTGTACCGCAAGAAAAACACACTGGTACCGCAATGGATACCGCTTTTAGGCTGACTGAAACACTCCATAATCTGGTTGAAGTTTACATCATAAACTAGTTACAAAAACATTGGCGGAGAAGGTAGATTTAATTCACGAAACCTAACTGATCTCTCTTTTCTGTGTCCGCATTTTCCACTTTTCTGTATTTATTTTGTGGTCATAATGCTGGTACTTTCGCCAATAATGCATGGCCAATCCAGTTTTCATGGCCGTCCCTGAATGCTGATACTGCTGGGTACCGTCCACCATGGACAGTGTTGGGTAGTTTCTTTTCATGACTGTTATACTTTCCCCATTTGTTTTCTTTTTGAGGGTCCACTTTTGATAGCTTTTGACTCACAAATGAAAACGGGACCGAAAATTTCTAATCACCATAAAAAAACTTAAGATAAAAATATATTTAATTATTTTTTTTTAAGTTGATATAACTTATTGATAAATAATTCATTGAATTGATTTATAACGTTAATCAATTTGAGTCTGTTTTCACTTTTGTCAGGGAAAACACTAACAAAATTGCCTCAGAATAAAGCTATACATGTATGCACATTTTTGTTTGTGACGTTCTGGTGCAAAAAGCCTAAAGATTCATTCTCTTGCGGACTAGTAAAAAGGCCCATGGGCTAGATAAGAGTCTCGTTCACTAGTCCAGCTGGCTAGTGAAAAAAGGGCGAACACTGAATTGGACTAGTTTAATGACCAGCAATTCTTTTGAAATGTTCTCAACCAAGTTAGCCTTCATAAAAGGCAACAACCAATTCAAATTACCCCACAGACATAGGGTCATATTCATAAAAACTAGCACTTGCTTTTACTACCTATTTTTAAGTATGTACTTGCATTTGTATGAATAAAAAGGAAGCAAATGCTATTACTGGAAAGCATTTGCTAAAAGCTAAAAGTATTTACTTTTTACTTGTAAAGGCCCTGTCATATTATACGCGCTCTCACAGGAGCCCTTACGGCGACCAAAAATATTTAACCTTCCTATGGAAACATGCATTGTCAGCTTTATTACTTGGGTCAATATTAATCAAGACTCCCTTTGGTTTGTACACAGTATTCCAGGAGGTGAGGAAGAAAATTTTGGACCAATTGTGACCTCTTAAATAGTAGGAGGGTTAATAAATTTAACAATTGCAGCAAGGACGTAAGAAAATGACAATTTTCTGTTTCACGTGGCAAGAAAGTAGCTCAAGCTATGCTCATACTGCGCTCATCCCATGCTTACGATGCGCTCAATTCACTCTCTATGCACACCTGTCAAGCCCAATTATTCAATCTTGTCACTGCTGATGCACTTTCACTGTGCTCACAGTACAATCTACTTGCTGTTGATACGTCCTAGTAGCTCGCGTCGCGCTCTCTGTACGACCAAAATAGGCTCAGGTGACGTCACTTGCACTGTATAAATACCACAAAAACGGTCAACCTGCAGTCCAGTTTCAAATTTCTACAACACAGTCAAGTTACTTTCTCATGGAGACCACATCGACTGCCTTGCGCCTGGGCTGCATCAATGCCACGTCAATGTCGCATGATTCTCGCTCGCAGAGCGCCCGAGTTGCATCATCACGGTGCCCTGGCCAGAGCACAGAGGTGTTGCGTTTGTTTGAACATGTTCAAGAAATTTTGGCACTTATTGGGGACCATTAAGACACTCTGATGACGCCCTTCTTGTGGCCTATGTAGTTCTCGCTGCGATCAAGTAGTTGTTCTTGCGCCCCAGCCTTTTTCATGGACGTAGTGAGAGCGCATATATGATTGCAGACAGTCTGACAGGGCCTTAAGCTTTTGCTAGACTAGACTTGTTAGCTTTTGCTAGACTAGACTTTTTACTTTTCAAGGGGCAAACTTGAAAATATAGAGCAGATACTTTTGCGCAAAAACTGCTGCATTTATTAATAGTAATCGACCCAAAATTAACACAAAATGTTAATAAACTACATATATAATACCATACACTGTATTTTGAATAACATTTATGCAAAATTTTAATATTATTTTATTATTAATTTCATTACTAGAATAAACGATAATTTCGCATTTTGTTCAGGACATGAGAAGTGTTAGGGTAAAATTCAGTGCGGCATAGAATGATTAAAGACAAATTTTATTCCGAGGCACCCTGGGGACTGAACAAAATGAAATCATTGTTTTTTAGTTTATTAGGTCACTAATCTTTGCAAACTATTATTTTTTTAATATTTCAATAAACATAAACATAAACCTGCCCCAACCCAAATTAAAAGAAACCACGTCAATATTGTTATTAGTATGTTAACACATACATGCGTCTGTGGCCACGGATGATTAAGCATTCCTTCTTATTCTGTCAAGGGTCAAAACCTGAACTGAGCCAAGTTCTGACTTGCGAAGATTGCTGGCTGGTTCGTGCAGAGCTTTGTGTGGAAAGAGGTGGTGGCCACTTTGAAGCCTTGGGCCATGATGAATTAACTACAACAATAAGAGTGGTTAAATCACTGAAAAATTGAATAAATTGTTTTAACGAAAGGAATGTCTTCTTTCTTCAAATTAAGCTGTTCCATATGCCCACAATACCAGCTACCTTTTTGCACAAACTTCTGTGGCCACAGACACTCAATCAATGTATTATTGGAAAGAGGAAACATTGGCATTTCACATGATATTTCACTTATTTCAAAATATTAATTACATTTTTTATACAATACATTTACATCTTGCTTTCTTTTTTTATATACCCTAGCTGTAAATACTATTTAAGGGCCTGCATACAATAACCCAGCCTCTCCATTAACCACTGCATTTTGTGCTAGTGCACACTCTTTAGGCCTTTTACAAAAACGTGACACACAGACATCAGACAGACAGACAGACAGACAGGGTAGGGTAATTTAATATAGGATGACATTCTGATTTTATCGTGGCTGGTATGACTCACAAAATACAATAAAACTACATTTTGCTTTCTCAAACAATCTAATATGAGAATCACATGTGTTGTCATGTCTGGGTGCCAAAAGCTTAGTAATGGTTTAAGAAATTTACTTTTTCTTTGAACTACCTTACTTCATATCATCGCAACTTCCTTTGGATAAAAAACCTACTTGCAAAGAGAATGCAAGAACACAGAATATGCATCCAAATATTGCTGCGCCAAACATTCTTGATTGACATGCTTTGGTCATGTATATTTGACAATCAAAGACACAACATAAACGTTGTATCAATAAAGATCATCCCATATTCACTGTTTACAAAATTGAAGTTATGTTTTGATTAAAACTTTTCTTAATGCATCCCTATAGTCATGGATGACTGAGCACCATAACAAGCTAAAAATCTTCATTTGCCAAGTTAAGCTGATGTGCATCATATGTTTTTTAAGCATTCTGGCAGGAAATTGCCATCTTCCAAATATAAAATGTTATTAAAACAAGTCAGGTGTGTAACAAACACAAATGCCCCGCAACCGTGACTGTTCCCATGACAAAACACAACTCTTTTAACATCAACCTACATGTACTTGGGTCACATGGAACTTTCAGGGACATCATTAGTGTTCCTGTAGGTTTAATTGAATTAATCCCTATGCATCTCAGAATAAATACAAGATTTCTTTTGTTTTAGCCACTGTGACCTTGACCCTTGACTTTTTGGCCCCAAATGCAATAGGCTTCTTAGGAATACCAAGAACAATCCACAATCCAAATTTGAAGTTCACATGTAAAGTATTTCAAGTTATCGCGCCGACACCTTTGTTTTAGCCGCTGTGACCTTGACCCTTGACATTTCAGCCTCAAATGCAATAGGCTCCCTAAATTTACCAAGAACAATCCACAAACCAAATTTGAAGTTGACATGTAAAGTTATTCTCAAGTTATTGTGCTGACAAAATTTCTTTTGTTTTAGCCACTGTGACCTTGACCCTTGACCTTTAGGCCCCAAATACAATAGGCTTCTTAGGATTACCAAGAACGATCAACAAACCACATTTGAAGTTCACATGTAAAGTATTTCTAAAGTTATCGCGCTGACAAGATTTCTATTGTTTTACCCACAATGACCTTGACCCTTGACCTTTCAGCCCCAAATGCAATAGACTTCTTAGGATTACCAAGAACAATTATTTCCACAAACCAAATTTGAAGATCACCCATGAAAAG